TATATATATATTTTAAAAGGTGAAATTAGCTGATTAAGGACACTATAGAGAGGGGAACAGATCTTTTGTATAAAGTAGTCTAAAGTGGTCTGATATAGAGGTATCAGGGTAAAATCAAACAATAACAGGAACAATAAAAGGGATGACTCATTTGTTTTCCAAAGCAATGCAGGAAGTTCATAGAAGGAGCGTGTTTTTCTGCAGGCTGCTCACTGTTGATCTGAACCTACGTGAAGAAATAAAATGGAAATTAAGTACTTAATATTCATTTCATGGTGGGCCTGTATTTTCCAAGCCTATTAAGAATATAACTCCTGACATGATTACGAGGCTGCATGCATTATTGACAAGGTTTCTGTAGCAGGAAAACATGATTTTCTGTCTTTTGCTGGATATGCTGATTTTGGCTGGGATAGAGAAAATGGGAGTAGAGATTGGGTTGTTTAAATCTTCTAATAACAACAACAGACCCATCCCCCGGAGAATGAGTAATACTTCTTATGCAGAGATCTTCAACAGAAAGCATGTGTTCTTTTAAATAGGCTTTAAAAAATGAAAACAGTAAAAAAAGTCCATACTTAATTGTTCCTGCAGGGGAACTGCTCCCAGGTGTGAATCTCCATGAGTTTCCCAGTTTCTCCATGAGTTTCCCAGAGTTGTAGCTCTTTCCCACTGGCACAGCTCCGTGTCTGTGTGTGTCTTGAGTGAATGAAAAGCTATTGACAACAGAGTCTTTCTCATCTTTGAGGATTTCCATTTGCATCAGTGTCACAAAGACCTAAGCCTGGGGGTGTAGTGTCTGTAGCTCTGCCCAGAAGAGCACATCCATGAGCTACAGCAAGGACATGGACTTGGTTATCTCCCTCAGTCATTCCTCCTCATTGTCAACATCGCCCTGTGTAATCTGGGACTAATATTTTTCATTTTCTGGCCCTTCCTTACAGTTCTCATACCTTCTGGAGTCACTTATTTTGCTCTTCTTGAAAGAGCTGGTGGACTGACGGGGAGATTTCTATTTAGCAGAGGGTAGAGAATACCGTGTCACTTGCTGGGTTTGTCAACATTCCCATCAGGTGTGTACAGGAGGGGAGTTAACATCCAAGTAATGAATCATTTTCCCATTGGATTAATGGTTTAACAAATGGCTGGTTAATGCATTGACTAAATCTCCTACTTTAGTTCACCATTTCGCTGCCCGGGGTTGTCCTTGTGCATAGGCTTAGGCCAGGGCTGGAAGGAGACCTGGAGTAGGGGAAGAGGGAGTAGGAGAGGGTGGCAGGACAAATTATTAGAGAAAAAGTTGGGTACCCACCCAGAAGTGGGAGAAAGGCTGCTTTTGGTGGCTTCTGTCAGCTGTATGTTATTGAGTTGGTATTTGTTATGTCATGGAGCAGAAGTCTTTTTTCGCCCTTCTGAAGGGTCCTGGTGAAGTCAGCAGCAATGTCGAAAGCAGGAACTGATGAAGATGGCAGAAAATCAGCAAAGAAGCTGTGGCTGCCCCATCTCTGGCAGTGTTCAAGGCCAGGTTGGACAAGCGGCTTGGAGCAACCTGCTCTAGTGAAAGGTGTCCCTGCCCATGGCATGGAGTTGGAACTGGATAAGCTATAAGGTCCCTTCCAACCCAAACCAGTCTGGGATTCTCTAATATTTAGGGACTACTACAGGAGTAGAGAACCGAGGTTTGAAAGGGAGTGAGCACAAAAACAAATGCCCTTCAAGCTGAGCTTTTGCAAAGAGATCACAGGTGTTGATCTGCATGGATTTCTTGCCATGCATTTGCTTTTTGCTAATGGGAAGAGTAAAGGAACCCAAATTTGTGATACCATTAGAGATAAAAGAGAACTCTTGGAATTGTTGGGGTTTTTTTCCTCCCTTTTGTACCCCCCCCAAAAAAAAAGAAAGCCAGGCTTTTTATCTCATGACTCTTAATTTCACAAGTATTTGATCTGCAATAGAGCAAATGACAGACAAATATATCAGTAATAGCTGTAGCAACCCTTTGTGTCAGTTTTATGGGAGGTTGACTGGCAACATCTCCCAGATTGGCGAACTTTGAAGGATGTAAACAGTGGTTATAACCACAGTGCTGAAAATACAGGCTGATTGGTGTGGTCCTTTTCTCAGGTTGCTGGAAGCACAGCTTCAGGATCAGAGAAGAGAGCATGAGGAGGAGGTAGAAGCTCTGAAGAGCCAGGTGGATGTAATGAAAGAAGAGATGGAGAAGCAGCAGCAGGCTTTCCTGCAGACCCTGCAGCTCTCTCCAGAGGCACAGGTGGAGTTTGGACTTCAGCAAGAAATTACACGTCTCACCAATGAAAATCTGGTAAGAGGCTGTACTGAAAATGCAGCCTAAGGAAGAGGAGAAAACCCAGGCCGAGTGGAAGGAGATAGGAACCATGAAGGGGAGGGAAAGGCCCTGGGGTCTCTTTTATGTCTCCTAAACTCTGCAGAATCCTTCAGCATCTCCCATTGGTGCATTTGGGGGCGTTGGTACTTGGCCTTGGACTATTGTTCAGTGGCTGTACGACTCTTGCGACTCCCTAGGTACTTTATTTTCCATCTTCTTTAAGCCTGTCCACTTTGTGGCACTGCCTACCAAATGAGATCACTGGGGACCCCTGTAATCTGTAGTTACGCACACAGATAACACAGTCCTTTCTTCTTACTTGCATTTATTGGGAGTGTGGAGGAGCAGTTGTTACTCCAAAAACTTGGCCTGGCTGATCATAAATCTTCCTTTTCTCATCTCTTGTATCTGGAGTGAACATTGGTCTCTTCTGAGTTCAGGTGAGGGCTTCTTGCCTTTCTCAACAACTCTAGTATGCAAGTAGTGTTGGAAGTGTTTAAATGATTAAAAGTCAGGAGTAAAATGCTTTGGATGGTGTGTTGTGAGTCTTGCCTGCCTCAAACTCACCCCATAGTTTTTGGGCTTAATGTTTGGTTTGTTTTTTTTTTTAAACCCAATGCATCTTCTGTTTTTTCAGGATCTTAAAGAATTGCTAGAGAAGTTGGAAAAGAACGAAAAGAAGCTGAAGAAGCAGCTGAAGATTTATATGAAGAAGGTCCAAGATTTTGAAGGTGACTTGGCTGTTGGTAGACATTGGGGTGGAGGAACAGCATTCTGGTTTTGCTTCTTTGGTTGGCCTTGGAGAGCTGCAGGTTTTCTCTCCTTCTACTGAAGTAAGATTTTGCTCATTCTGGCACTGAACTAGCAGCAAGCACTGAGCTCATTGTTGGCCTGACAGCAGGGAACCGAATGTCCAAATGGAGCTCCTGGGTCGTGCTTAGGCTGCCTTTGAGCAAGTACAGCTGCACTGCTGTAGCTTTAGCTTGTTAACATTGTTGAACGTGGTAAACTTGGAAGAAGGCCCAGGAAGTGATGGGGGACGAGCGCTTGGTGGAGATGTTGGTCTGACACTTGGTGTATCAGGGTTTGGAGGGTATTTAAAGAAACCTTTTTGCTTTCATTGCTGTCAATGACATGACCCAAGCAGAGATAGAGGAGACCAATGGTTAGCAGGCAAATGCGCTGATCTGTCGATTTTGAGGAGGAATTAAAACCACTTAGGTTTAAAATCTATGCGTATATTCTGCTTGATCAGAAATATCTCAGATGTGACATCTGTGTTGTATAGAAGGACCTTCCCATTCTCTGGAGATGCCGTGATTAATCAGAGAACCCCATTCTTGTGAGCTAATTTTTGAAAACTAGGCATTAAGTGAAATTAAGATGAGTAACTGGAGAGCTTCCATGGCTAGCACAGCTGGTCTCTTACACTGTAATTTGCATGCAGCAGGCTAGCAGCCTGCTAGTTTCCTGCAGTACTTGTGTGTTGGTCCCTTCTCTTTTATTAAGCTTTTATGGAAGCACAGTGTTCAGTGGTGTGCCACCATGGTTCTTCAGCTTTACAGCCAGCCAGGAGATGTGATGTTTCAGTGTATTTTCATTGTCTGGCTATGTTTTTTTTTGCTCTCTGTGAAAGACATACATACACTAGAAAGCTTCCCGCAGAGTTACTACCTTCTAGCCTGTGGTTCCTTAGAAAATAAAAATTACTTCATCTTTTCCTCCTTAGATCCAACTTTTGTGCTCTTTCTTTCATTCAGAGTCAAGACTACTGCTAACTGGTAATTCAAGATCTGGTTCTTTATATTTTTTAAGTCTGTTGAAGATAATTACATTATTAGAAACTTAATATATAACACTCTGTCCTGGTGTCTGCTTTAAGGCTGTGGAGGAGACGAACAGTTCTCAATTGCCAGGTACCACCTTTCATGCTCTTTTCTCTTCACAGCAATCCAAGCCATGGTACCAGCAGAGAGGAGGCAGCATAAGCGTAACATGCAAGCTGCTGTTCAGAGGAAGGAGAAAGATTTTCAGGGCATGTTGGAATATTATAAAGAAGATGAGCCACTCCTCATCCGAAACCTGATTACAGGTGAGGAACTTGCTTGGCTCCTTTTTCTCTTGTCTGGAAGAGTTTGTAAACTTGAAATCTCAAGGTAGACAAATAGATCTTCCTAAATTAATCCTTTCTGAGGGCTGCATGTTTATGGTGACAACAGTTTTGGTAGGTAGATCAGTGCAGAACTAAGCAGATAGACTAGCATGGATGTAAACCTTAAGAATAGGGAAAAAAAAAAAGAAAAATACAAAAAGGAGGCTGTAGGGCCGGTGGTAACTTGCTGAACATCATACAGAGTGGTAGTTGATGGGGAGGGGATAGCAAAGGGTAGACCCTGTGGGGTTTGTGCAGCAATGGAACAGAAGTAGTTCGGTTTATGAGATGATAACAGATAATAAACTTGGGAGCTCCTTTGTGCTGGCAGGTCTGATGAGAATTGCTGCAGCATCTCCTTATTCAATGCTGTTAGGGAAATCATGCTTCCATGGCTAAAGTGTTAGCATTTACCATCACTTACTAACCCCAGCAGAATCTGGTAAGGATCTAAAAAGTGTTCAAAGAGCAGTGCTAGCCCATTGCTGTGGTCTTTGAAGTTCCCCTAATCAAACAGGCTTTTTCTTTAGAAGCTGCAAATGCCCTAAGCTGCCGTGGGGATTCAGTATTGCAAGGGAAAGGATTTTACTATGTCATGAATTCAGTGGTGGGGCTTATACCCTGCGGGAGAAAGTCCTAAAAGCTTTAGGAAGCTTTTCTAAGGTTGTTTAGAAAAACTTTTCTAGGCTTCTGAAAAGCTAGAAAAGGGTAGGCTTTTACATGGGAAAGAAGATCTAATGCTACCTATGCATCCATAAGGTGAAATGGGACATTGTCACAAACTTCAGTGCAGACAATGATGCTCTACTGAGGCATAGTGTTGCAGCTCTTCTGCTTTGGCTAGCTCCAGCAGGTCCATCTGTCCTGCAGTTGTACCTCTGGTTCTGTGTCCACATTGCAGAGAGGGCTGCAAGTCAGAGAGCCGAAATCTTGTCTTCTCCAGCCCTGGGCAGACAGGTTTGTCTGGGTACAAGTGCAGCTCCGGTGCTCACTGCTTTCCCTGCCAGTTGGTGGATTTTAAGAGGATTTAAAAGCAAAAAAACTCTTACTAAACCTTCTAGATCTCAAGCCCCAGGCGGTGTCTGCTACTGTTCCTTGCCTTCCTGCCTACATCCTTTTCATGTGCATCAGACACGCAGATTACATCAACGATGACCAGAAAGTACACTCCTTGCTCACCTCCACCATCAATGGCATTAAGAAAGTGTTGAAGGTAGGTGTCCATTTTCTCTTGTCCTAGGGTTGAGATGCTCTAAGATGGTAATAACCATGTCAAGTGTGATATTCAGCTCTCATAATAATTTTCAAACCAAATCACTCTTACGGCTTCCCTTTTAAAAAGAACAAGGAGAATTAATATTTTAGCAATAAAATTGTTTGCGCTTACAGATTAAAAACAGGGAACAAATGGCTAATACTGCCCATCTGCAAAGAAAGAGTTCCATGATTCTAAATGAGGAAACTCAAAATCACTTTGTCTTGCTATGCCAGCATCCCCCACTGAAGGGGAGGGGAGTCTCACATTGCTTTAATTTTGCTTCTCCAGAAACACGGTGATTTTCAGATGACATCGTTTTGGCTGGCAAATACATGTCGCCTCCTTCACTGTTTAAAGCAGTACAGCGGAGACGCGGTAAGAAACTCATCATTGATCTTGAGTATGCTGGCATTCCTCCAGGAAGGGTCTTCAGGTCTCCTGGGTCTAGTGGCTTTCCTCTGGTTGGGAGTCATCTCTGACTTTGCTCTTTTGTTAATTTGGATATAACATGGGGCAGCTCCTAGAATCACAGAATCCCAGACTGGTTTGGGTTGGAAGGGACCTTAAAGCTCATCCAGTTCCGACCCCTGCCACTAGAGCAGGTTGCTCCAAGCCCACGTGTCCAGCCTGGCCTTGAACACTGCCACGGATGGGGCAGCCACAGCTTCTCTGGGCAGCCTGTGCCAGCGCCTCACCTCTGTCATGGTAAAACATTTCTCCCTTCTATCTAGTCTGAAGTAGACCATAGGTTCATGGGACATTGCATTGAGACATTTGAGAGCTGAAAGCAGAACAGAGTATTTTGAATTTCATAGCCAACCATGCACTTTGATTTGTCCGAACAGGGGATTTCCTTCTGGTAGGGTGTTTTGAAGGCTGTTCTCCTAGTTCTGGTAGATCCTGAAGCTTTTCATTAATCAAGATTTTTTTAGACAGGGGAAAACTGTCCCAAATTTTGCAATTTTTTTTCTGAATGTTCCTACTGATTTTTTTTTCACCATTCTGTTCAACTAGATCAAAATAACCACGCTTCAAGAGAGCAAAAACGAAAATTATAATGTAAGGTTTTGGAAAGAAATCCTCTAATTTCTTGCCACCTTAGCAATATTTCATAAGTGAAATAAGTTTTATTATAACTGATCCAAGAAAAGCAGATCATAACAGTCCTTTTAGTACATCACATGTTGCCATCTTTATAGCCATATGTTCTGGATATTAAAATTTTCAACAGAGCCAAAAATGTCATTTCTCATTTAGTTTTGGTTTGGGTTAGATATATTGAGCAATCAAGCTTTTAAGAATAAATTAAAAAAATCATAGAATCAAATTAACTATTCGGGTCATTCACAAGATAATGACTGGTGTGTAAAACTCAGTGCTGGACTTCCAAGATTTAAATTAAAAAGAAAATTAATTTAAATGATAATTACTCATAGTTAAGCTCCTCTTCGCCCTCTTCTGCCTGGATAACAACATTACATTTCAAGAAAATCCTCCCCAGAAACCCAGCAAGTTGGGAAAAAAAAAGGAACCCAAACTTAAATTTCAGATTCTTTGCTGTGATTTACTGTGTTAAATGAACCACTGTTGGCAAATTAAGTTGATAACTGGTGGAAAGGAAAAGTAATTCTGAGCAGTTTTCAAAATACTTTTCTTTAGTTTGAAATCCAACCTATCTTAAAGGAAACAGGATTAAAAGGAAATCCCAAATTAAATGCAGTCTTGCAGTGCAAAGAGCATTTGTCAGAAAAATGGAGAAATTCTGAAGTCAACTCAAATTGTATATGTTGTGGTTTTGCATCTTGCTAGTCAGCAAACAACAGAAAAAGTTTTATAGTTACCGATTTGGTGTCAAAACAAGAAAACAATATGAACAGACAATTAAAGTGGCTGTGTTGATTACAGAATTAAGTTAGATTACATTTGCTTCTGCCAGCAAACCTAGCTCTAATGTCTACATAATGTCTACAGAACTTGGGGCTACAGCATCAATTGCAGGATCAGAGGTCAGCTTCAGCAAAAAGCAGGGAATAAATTCAGTTACTTGGAGAGATTTCCAAACTTCAGATCTTTAAAAATATTGTCAAAGCATATAGCATGTGGTTATATTTTTTTTAAATTATTTCCTAAAACATTAATCTCAAAATATTTGGTTTCCCATAAATAATTGTGTCTTACAGGGATAAACAGCTAGAAAAAGTTTCTCAGGCACTGAAATGTCATTTTCTAGTTCATGTGTATATTGCTGTTAATACAGATGTTGGTCCTTGCTAAAGCTAAAATAGTAGACTGCTCACTTAAGGATACTTTTCTTCAAAAAGCAGACCTGTAGTAATAATTTATGAACAAATGTCTGAGCAAATCAAAGGTGATTTATGAGTCTAGATCTTTTCTATAATAGAGTAACAGTGTTCTTTGGTAACACCTCTGGATATATTGTACTGTAAGGGCTGGTTGTTTTTTTTTTAATAGAGTGATTTTACTGGACTATAAATAGGTGGAATAATGAAACCAGGCGTTTTAATCTCCCATTCAGGTTTTCATGGCACAAAACACGCCTAAGCAGAACGAGCACTGTCTGCAGAACTTTGACCTGACTGAATATCGCCAGGTGCTGAGCCACCTCTCCATGCAGATCTACCAGCAGCTCATTGATATAGGAGAGGGCATACTCCAACCCATGATCGGTAAATTCACACTAGCCTTTAGGAGGGTGTGTTTTTTCACTGTAATTATCTACTCTGAAGGTTTTTCAGACCTTTGAACGATGCTAGCATGACCTCTCCACAAAGGAAAAGCCTGCAGTTGGTCGGAAGGCGTATGTTACAAAAAATAAGGGCTTGGTTTGGAGCAGGTCCTTGTGTTAGCAGTTACCTGGAGTTGGGGAGGCAGACCTGGATGAGTTTTTATTTTCCCCTATGATAGAAACTAATAGAAATGAGGGTTTCCCTCACCACCACGATAGAGGATACCTCCTTTACTGTTGGGGAGGTGGTGACAGAGGTGAGGTGGTGCTGGTGGGTCTCGAGGTACACAGTTTCCCTCCAGACCAGGTTCACAGTTAAGCTTTTCATGGGTGGAAATGCGCATTATGAGAGAGGAGAGAATGGGGAAGAGGAAAAAGAGACTAATAAAGCCCTTGTTTTGCAAGGGTGAGTCAGTATGAGAAGAATTACCTCCCCAGCTACATCTGTCCTCCTCATTCCTAAGCTAATTGAGAGGTTGTGCTCAAGCACTTTATATTCTCTAGCTGCTAGTGTTTTCCTTGAGCTCCCAGCCTGCTGTATCTGTGACACTTTCCCTTTACCCTCCAAATGTCCTTGCACAAATTTTGGCTGTACCCGAGGGCATCACTGCCTACCATCACTGCATGTACCTCCTGCTCCTTACAGGAAGTTGTCCTGTTCCTCTGTCAGTTAGTCAGGCTGTTATTACTTTTAATCTATCTTCATTTCTTCCAATTCTTTGAGCTAATTAATCACTTTAACTGCAGAATTTAAGGGTCTGTGGTGAATATAGGGAGAGAACTGATTACAACTCAAAGGAGAGCTGTTGCCTGTTTCTGCAGCATCTTAAGTGATTTCTGTGTAGTAACACCAAGGAAGAAAAAAAGTGTGGCCTTACAGATATATTTTGTGCTTCAACTATTTCATATTGTCACCGTAAACTATCAATTCATAGGTCTGTCCTGTTTTCAGACCTGGCAGCATCCATCATGTTGCATCACTGAGACTGCTGCATGTTTACAACTGCTCACAGAGGGATCAGTTCTTGCCAATAGTGACTAACAGGTGGATGGAGGTGCTTTTAGCTCATTTTGCCCCCTTTTTCAGTGTCTGCGGTCTTGGAAAATGAGAGTATCCAAGGGCTTTCTGGTATCAGACCGATGGGCTACAGGAATCGCTTCTCCAGCATGACAGATGGTGACAGCTCCTACAGCCTAGATGAAATCATTCGCCAGCTGAACACATTCCACACCATCATGTGTGACCAGGGTCTGGACCCAGAGATCATGCAGCAGGTCTTCAGGCAGCTCTTCTACGTGATCAATGCAGTTGCCCTGAACAACCTCTTGTTAAGGAAGGATGTCTGCTCGTGGAGCACGGGCATGCAGCTAAGGTGGGACAGGGACTCGGGGCAGGGATGTACCTGCTTAAGGAAGCTTTGTTAATTTATGAGGTAGTGGAAAATTGGAAAATAAAATACAGTGGTGTAAATAAGGGGAGAAACTGGATTCAGCAGGGGTGTGATGCAGATGCAGTTAAATCTAACCCCCACTGTGTAATGCCTATGCGATGCAGTTTGCTGTGCCACTTGTGAGTTAAATACATGTTATAGTAATATTGTCTGGGGTGTGCTTTCCCCACCTGTCCCTCACCAAGCCTGGGCAGGTGATGTAGGACAGGTTGGACTCTGGGATGTAGAAGTCTCTGGTTCTCTTCTACTGCTGTGTCTGTGATTTTTAATGTTGTAGTGTCAAAGGCTCCAGTCTTAAAGATCTTAACCCCCCGTTGCTGTGTGCAGTGCCTCTGGCCTCTCATGAGCTGCAGGGAAGTGGCAGCACGGACATCTGCTGGCCTGGTATCAGGCGCCTACATGCCCCATTGCTGTCTTAGCATAGTGGTGTAATAAGGGTTGAAATTTGAAAGGACAGCTAGTACAAACCTGCCACAAAGGGGCCATGAATATTTATCAGCCTTGGCATAAATCTATCAACTTCCTTCTTAGTGCAAATGATTTAAACCTTTCTTTTGCTACCCTCTCCCCTTCCCACAGTGGATCCTTTGCGTGTTCCCCTTCAGCCTGGGAGTGTGCACAGGCAAAGGCATTTTTTGTGTATGTATTTTCAAAGGTACTTGGGTACCTTGCAGGATTTTGTTACCATTTAAAAGCTTGTCAAAAGCTTAATTTTAATTGACTTTTGAATCTGAACGAATACAAATGCTGTAGAAAAGCACGTCCCTTGTGCTGTTCTGCTCTTACTTAGCTCATCTGTTTCTAAGGTACATAGAATATAAATTTTGCTTTGAGTTGTTGAGTATTAAGCTTTGGTCTGGTTCTCTCTTGCCATGTGTATCACAAATACGAATCACAAAAAGTCACATCTACCAGCACTGCAGCATACCTTGAGTCTTGTAGAGGATTTTTCAGATGCTATGTCTTATCTCTGGGTTGTCAGCTCACATCTTATCTTGGTTGCTTACCCAGGTTTAACATAAGCCAGCTGGAGGAATGGCTCCGTGGGAAGAATCTGCAGCAGAGTGGAGCAGCAGAAATTTTGGAGCCCTTGATTCAGGCAGCACAGCTTCTGCAGCTGAAAAAGAAAACCTCAGAAGATGCTGAGGCCATCTGCTCCTTGTGCACATCACTCACGACCCAGCAGGTAAGGAGAAGGGCAGAGATTCACACCACAGGGTAACCAAAGGAGTGGGAAAGGGTGGTCTCCTGGTGCCAGCTCTTCAGTGCCTGGACTCAACATGCACCTCGTGCTTTTCAGAACTACTGATAAGTTCTGACCGCTGTCAGAGGTGTTCATCGCACTGGCTCCTCCTCTTACAGTGCCACTGATGACACTGGAGCTCCAGAAACCTGCAAAGTTGAAATCCAGATCCGAGAAGTTCATGGTATAACTCAGACACTTGGGATTTTAAATCCATGCGTTGTCATTTCCCAGGGTCTAACCTGTCTAGGTCTGCAGGATGCCCACCAAAGATTCATATTTGGGGCACGAAGTTGATAACTACCCACGTAGGCTGGCGAGATCTGACCTTAAACTATAAGACTCCATTCCAGGTGGATATGTTTTTTGCTGCTGGATTGCCTGGTCTTACTTTGATAATGGTGTAGGAGGAAAGAAGTGAGAGGTGCGAGTTGATCTCCAGTGGTTCTTGGAGATCCTTTCTCCTGTATTTCTGTTTCCCTGTCTTGAACATGTGTTCTTGAGGAGCCAAGGGGAGGAGCAGAAGTCTTGCAGAGGTGACATCAGAAGTACTGGGAAGTGGTCATGTCAACCAAATGGAGTCCCTGTGTAAATCTGTTGTTCAAGTGTATTCCCAGGTGATAGTCTTTGCCATAAGAAGTGGCTTTGACAGGTCTGTAAAGGCTCACCATAGCTTAGAGCAGGCAAAGGAACACCAGGGTGATATTTGTGCTACTTCTGCTTCTCAGTAGTGCCATGGGAGACTTGTTATCATCAAATCACAGAATGGTGAGGGGTGGAAGGGACCTTAAAGATCATCTGGCTCCTCCCTGACACCTTCTACTAGACAATGTTGCTCAAAGCCCTGTCTAACCTGGCCTTGATTATGGCCATAACAAGACAAACTTCTAGTGGTGCTTTGTATTCTGGAAAAGTTTGGCTTCTCATGACTGTCTGTAATCGTATTTTGTTTTCAACAGATTGTAAAGATACTTAATCTCTACACTCCAGTGAATGAGTTTGAAGAACGTGTGACAGTAGCTTTCATACGAGACATACAGGTAAATTTCAAGGGCTGTAAAGTGGAGGAGATAGTACTAGTGACTGTATTAAGTACTGATCTGTGTAAAGTCATTACCAACTCAGACGTTTTGTAATAGGCATACTGCTGCATGTTGTCCCATATTTAGCGCCGTGCATGTGCACATGCTTACTTGCAACATACAGCTGCAGGGATAAGTGGGCTGTTAATCACAAAGAGCAATAATCACCCATTTTCCCAGCTCAGCTAATCCAAATCTCTTCAGTAGCAACACAATTTGGAAGTAAGGTTGCAGGAGTCAGCAAAACAATAGTGAAAAGGAGTTACTTCCAAGGTAGAAGATAGAATATAGTAACTAGAGGAAAAATAAATAAATGAAAACCAAACACTTTCTAATGCTCACAAGGAGGAGGCAGGAAAAGGAAACGGAAATATCTTCGGCTACTCCTAGAATATGCCTGTGTCACTGAGTAGCTGAATCAAAAGTGGTCTGCTCGTAACATGCAGTGCTGCTGTGCGAGGGGGTCATGTTGTTTCCAAGCCCTGTATCTTGCTTTGTGGTCATGTAGCAAAAGTAGCTGAGTTATTCTGAAGCAGTATTTCATACAGTCTCTGTAGAAGTTACTGTAGATACTTGCTCAAAGGATGGCTGTGACAATAGAGAACAAAAGAGTTCTCACCTTTTTTTTGCAGTATCTCTGAATTGTGCACATTCTCAAACTTCTGTGATGTTAAACACAGAAAATGCAAAGAAAAGGCAACAACTGATACTAATTAATTTTTTTCTCCCACACCTCATATAGATGCACTTGCAAGAGCGAAATGACCCTCCGCAGCTCCTGTTAGACTTCAAGCACCTGTTCCCAGTTGTGTTCCCGTTCAACCCATCCTCTATAACCATGGACTCTATCCATCTCCCTGCTTCTCTCAACTTGGAGTTTCTCAATAAAGTCTGAAGAAAGCATGATTAAGCCTACCTTTCATACCCAGAGATGTCCAGCAGGGAAAGAAAAATCCTGAAAGGAATTTAAGGAGCTCTTTAAATAGAGACCAAAACAGGCTTGTAGAAGAACCAATACACAGTAATAATTGGATGCTAAACTATACACTAAAAAAGAGACTAATCTGTGATTATTTTCTTTTTTTTGGTAATTTGCAGCTCAGAAATAAGGATACTTGAAATGTAGATTTTACTGTTTGATTTTTACACTGACATAGTTCAAAGCTCATAATCATCTCCAAAAGACACTGACAGAAAAGAACAGGGAGTGGCATCCCCACTGATCTTCACAGGTGTCTAGGAAGAAATGAGAGTTAAATCAAAAACAAAATCTGAGACATGTTTGCCTCCTTGAAAGACATGTAATTTGTCTGTCAGCCAGGTGATTTTGTAGGTATTAATCACAGGACAAGCAATTCTGCCTCCTGTTCTTGCTAGTAACTCTTATCACAATAGTGAGTTGAGAAAGTCAACTGCAGAACGTGCAAGTATGTATTTATCATGCTGGTTAATGTTACAGGCTTGGACACTGCTTGTTTCCACTGACACAGAATTTGGCACAAATTCTGTGTTTGATAAATGCTACTGTGCCTCCTAAATGCATCCAGTGCATCTGCTTTGTGGGAATTGGCAGTTTGGACTTTCCTCTGGTACCAAATTTACATTAGTGACTTGCAATGGTTTTGTTCTCATGAAATTTTCTTGAGAAAAGGGACTGCCCTAGGCTCCCTGCTTTTAGTATAGAGGAGCTTCATCCTGATCTCTACTGTTGCCTTTTGCCTGTGTTTCTGAAAGTCAGAAACTTTCATCCAGTGGCTATTGAGGCTCTTAGACTTCTTACATGGCCTGTATCAGAATCTCATGCGTAGATAAGATGTGCTAAAACAGCCCAGTTAAATCATCAGGTCTCCACTTTGGTTCAGTGGGTTAGTTCTAGCCATAGCAGGACTGTGGAAAAACTTTGTTCAGTTCAACAGGCATCTGGAATTTTACCAGCTGTGCAAATACAATGGTTATATAAACGAAGAATACTTAAAGTTCTAAAATAAAAGGGAGTGGATCAGCAATGACATGTTTTAACACACAAAAAAATTGTCAGTGTGTTGGTAATGTAAGATGTTCCTTTAAAAGTGAGCATGAACTCTTTGTCTACAACAACATTCAATGAATAATTGCAATCAGTTCATATTCTGTTAGGTGCTTTTTTTTTTAAACCTAACTTATAAATTAAAATGGACCAACCCCATGATCTCACTATGCAGACAGTGAAAGGGGACAGCTCCTCACAGGAGAAGTCACTGATTTTTCTCAGTATGTACCATGATGTGGTGAATTCCTAGTTACTGCCAAACCACTTTTCTCACTGAGATGGGGAAAAGCCATGGCTTGAGTGATGCTCTGCAATGATCCTGATAGGGATGGGTCTGCAAAGTGCTCAGTGGCAATGCTTCTGCCAGAGCTCAGCACGCCAAACTGCAGCGAAAGCCCCACTCATCTCAGCACCTTGAGCAGTTTCCATAGTGCTTTTGTCTAAGTCGATCTGAACTTTGTGGTTGTGGTTCCTGAAAAAAAACACAAACTTCTTATCATCTGACTGCATTTAGTTGGTGTAAATGAGATCCAAACAGCAAATTTATCACAAGGTACCCTGTCTGCTCAGAGGATTAAAATAGGTGAAGTCTCATAAAGATACACTAAATCCTGCTGTGCTGCAGTCACATTTTTAGATAAGCAGTGTGTTTTGATTTAAACATCGTGTATATAATCAATGTATATACAAACTGTAATAGGTCCCATATGTACTATATATGTATATTGCTATCCAAGAAGCACATTTTTAAAGAAAAAGATGAGTGTTGTGAAGAATTATATTGGTCTGTGCCAGTGGGTAAATACCTTGCTTCAAACAGACTGTGGTTTAGCGTGGCTGTTACCAGTGAAGGACCAATTTAAGGCCGAGAAATTATCTTTGCCCCTGTCACCCAACTGATTATAGATGAAAACTGATTTCTTGTGTGGCACCAGCACTACCTCCAAAGTACAGTCCTTGAGCATTGCATCTACTGCTTACATTCAGTAGTGCCTTCATCTCCCCTTCGTATATATAAGGGTAACACCACTGTCTTGTGGTCTGTGCCCAGCAAGCCTTTGCTCTTCTGTCACCCACCCATCTACCATACTTTTATTTCTTATACCTACCTCTCTCCACGTTTGCAAATGAATGTTTTTGCAATGCTCTGAATTTAATTTTTTTATCATATCTTACTTCTCTCCACCCAGTAGTAATCACTTAAAAATTAAAGAAAAAAGAAAATCATTTAAAGCAGCATTCAGTCTTTCTGTAAGACTGTTTAAACAAGAGTTATTTCTCAGAATTCATCTTAGGCCAACAGTTTCCTCTTGGGCTCTTCAGGTCTCTACCTCTCTCTGATGTAAAGTGTTCGGAGTATAATTCCCAACAGATTAACTAAAGCAATGCTTGGTGTTCAGATGAAATGACAGGTTGTGGCAGAACCCACTTCTGCAACGATTTTGTTGCTGATTGCAATTGTAAAGGGTGGTTAACGGCCTTCTAGGGGATAATGGTCTTTCACTGGCATTTTCAGGATCATAATTTATATGTACGGTAGAGACTTTCTTAAAAACTCTAGGTATGTATAGATGGGAACTGGGATTTAATGTCTTGATTGGTGATAATGTAGTTTATCCATTAAAATCCATCTGGAAGAGGACTCTCTATGAAATATCTTTAATATATGTTATCTTTTCTGATAGCTATTAGTTTTTAAATGTGAATTTTGTTAAATTGCTATGCTCAAGCATGCCTTTTTTTCCTCAGATTGGCACTTCTTCATTTAAAGAGGAAATCTAACACAAAGCATGGCTTCGAGAAAGCTGGCTGTTTTCTGGATCTGTTGTTATGTTTAAATATTGACTATTAAGTTGAGCATTTTCCCGCTGTGTGCCTTTAGCTGTTACTAAGGTAACTGACTTCTCAACCACTGTTTCTCCGAAACAAGCATTGAAATGTGGGGATTTTTTTATTGTTCTGTCATAAAAATTTGTCTGTGGATTTATAAGTCAGTCAATAAAGTCTCACTCTGCAGAGGTCTGTAAAGATGCTTTTTTCCTAGTAAGTTCCCAGTAAGAAAACAACACTGACCCATTCTGGGTTTTTTGCATGATAATGTATCTCAGAAAAATGCTATTAGGAATAAAAAAACCAAAACAAAACTACACCCAAAAATGAAACCCTCAAAAAAGAAAAAACACAACCAAACCCGAAAAAACACAACCAAACCCTAAATCACACAAAGCACCATCACTCTGAACCCAACACTTCAACTGCGAGGTTCAGGCTGTGCTGTCTGACATCCAAGGCAATGTACATATTCCATTTTTCACCAGAAACTTGCTTTGAAATACTGAATTTATGCATCACAAGCTTTTTTTGTCATGTGGTTCATTCTCCAGTATCTGAAATGGGTTCTCTGGGTCAGTGAAAGAGTAACCGGGGGCGTGTTTCAGAGTTGAAGTGTAGTGGTTACTGTTCCTGACACTGCAACTTCAACACTGTGGTCACACCACCGCTGGAAGACTCTGCCAGGGGCAACCCTCCCGTTGTGTGATTTGCAAAAGATAAAAGCGGAAAAGATGCACTCGAAGCAACAGGTCATTTTCCGCTATTTTCAACAGTAAACGAACAAAACTATGCAAACTCACACTTTCTGATCATATTCAACTGAGGAATTGCCATTTTGCATGGAAATACCACGGAACCCCAGCCACCAAACCTCCATTAAACCAACCTTAAACCCTAGAAGAGTAGTTGAGGGGGTGAGGATCACTTCCCCCCGTCAGGGATGTCGCTGCTCTCGGGGCTCCGGGGGCC